GTACCATGCTACTAATCAGGTGCCAACATTAATCCATTTTAGGTTCTTATCTCCATAGATGTCCTAATGAAAAAACATCGGTAACTAAAGCCCCATCATATCCCCAATGATTGTTGTCAAATCTCCCATTATATAGCATCATGTCCCCTTTAATATCCGCCATACACCACTATATTCCTATTTTGTCTCACTACATCCTGATTATATTCCCTTTGATGGTTGTTAAATAAAATATCAAACAGGCCCAGTGCATATGACTCCAAATATGTGATTTCATCCCATAATAAACCATCGTTTCTGGGGTGTGTTGAATATGAACCGCTGCTCTGGCCTGTGGAGGGCTTCCTCCATCACATGGCCTTTGTCGGCCTCCAAGTAGTAGCAAACGACAGATGTCCAGACGGGACAAGCGGCTGTGGCTTCGATCCAACGGACTTTCTCTGCATACAGTAGTTCCAATGGGAAGCCCAGCCAATTGTCATTGGTCAAAGCTGCTGGGACCCCTAGGGCCTTTGTCTGTCGCATGCGCGACCAGCAGCTTCGGCAAACTGGCATCCGACAGTTGCAGCACAGTTGCGCGCCACCGACTGGGCACACATCGCAAGTGATGTATTCGGGGATTAATGATAGGTGGTTAGTTAAAAAGCATTACATCCATACTAGTATCACATTAAATCACCATTTTTGATGGTTAAATTAATGAATAAACCCTATTTGAAACATGTTATCCCACCAAAAACACCCGTGCGGGGGGCTCTCCGGACGAGATTTTCAACATGAAAAGTCATAGCCAATGGAAAAGAGGTCTTTGATGATTCAGAAAATGAAATCCGATTTGGGCCTTTTTTTTTCATTGCGTTTCGCCTGGTTTTTGAGACCCCTTGTCGCGCAACATGGCATTTTCTCTTTTCACTCTCTGTACACTGTCGTCAGGTGTTTGGCAGTAGCAGTCATCAGACACTTGTTTTGGATGTGTTGATGATGATATGTTGATGGTGGGGTTGAAAAGCAAGATTAATAATATGTACATGTTTGTAAGTTAGTGTGGATGTGTTGATGATGATATGTTGATGGTGGGGTTGGAAAGCAAGATAAATAATAATATGTACATGTTTGTATGTTAGTGTGGATGTGTTGATGATGATATGTTGATGGTGGGGTTGAAACGCAACATGATGTGTTGATGATGATATGTTGATGGTGGGGTTGAAACGCAACATGAACCGAACGTAAACATGCCCCCCCACCCCCCATATGTTCTCATGTTGGAATATGGTGATGTTGCTGTTGATATACACTGTTGCTGTTAAAAAACAGGAAAACAGAAGTGAAGCACGGAATTCCATCACGTAGCTGTTTTTCCTGGCAGGGGCATGTAAAAATGAGCAAATTATTGGCCCGTTTTCCCCCATTTAGCAAAAACACATTAAATCCCATCGATTATAATGTGTATGTATATTACATACAAATATTCGTATACATATATATATATATATATATAAAATCCCATTAAATCCCATTACATCCCATTAAACCCTGCTGTGTCCCATTAAATCACCATAGATCCAATTCTCGAATCACCACATATATATATAAATATTTAAATATATATAAAAATACGTATATATATATATACACACATATATATATATTTTGCTGCCCCCCCCTCTAGAACCAATGGTAGCAATCATAGAAAGAATTGGGTGGACATAAGACTAAACGAATTGGTTGGACATCGGTTCCAGGAGGGGTGACCATATATACATATATATATATACATATTTGAGCCGCCGTCAAAATCAATTGTTGATTCCCTTGTACGAAATATAGGTTATCGCTTTTTTTTTGCGGCCGAATCGCTTTACAGTGTTTTGTTCAAATCAAGACAAAACAATTAATAAAAAAATGCAGCGGAATTGGCTTCAGGGATTCAGATCTCTAAACTGCTGGGAATGGATTAAGGGGCGCTCGTTGTCTTTGCGTTTGCAACCATGTTGGGGAGCTATCTAGGGAAATTCCTAGACTCTTTCCTAAGGAAGGACATTTAGGGGAGCTATCTAAGCACATTCCTAGACTTTTTCCTAAAGAAGGACATTTATTACAAGCTCAACTCTGAAGTTAATTAAGATCAGTGGTTCCCAATGGTTACAAGATCACTAATTCTATGAAAACGAAAAAGGGTCAACTCGCAATTGTCCCTCTTTGATAAGCCATGGCGTCAGAAAATGCCATACTTCCCCGCTCAAAAGCTCTAGAAAGTGAAGGTGGGACCTCATAGTTCCAATAAAGAAGCGTTCGTAGCTATAAAGAAGTGTTTAAGGCTCCCCAAGCCTCAAAACAACCTGATGGCCTAGGGTTGAGAACCTGTTCGCTTTTTTGTTGAGTTCTTCTTGTTGGGTTCAGTTCTTCTTGTTGGGATCAAATGAGTCTATCCCTCGTCCGGGGTTCCTTTTCACCAAAGGTTATCGCTAGGTGATCGCTAAGGTTATCGCTCAATTAGAACCCCTTGATAATCATGAAAGGAAAAGAAAAGGGAACGTGGAACAAAAAGGATAATTGGAAAAAATAAAAGGACAAAGGAAGGAAAGCACGAGAAAAGCAAACGAAGGAAGAAGAAAGGACAAACCAAACAAAGGGGAAATAAAATAGAAGAAATAAAATGCAGAATTGGATTCCAAATCAATTTGGATTTACTTCAGAATTCAAAGGAAAAATCAAAGGAACAAGGAAGGAACGATAAAGAAAAGGAAACACAGGAATACGAAATTCAAGTTAAAATAAAACACATAAACAGAATTCAGAATTAGATTTAAACACATAAACTATGTTTTAGTCTCAGTTTATTTAATTCAGAATTCAGTTTCGTTTAGTTTAGTTTTCAGTTCTACTGCTTGGGACCTAGGAGAAAAAAAAGCTGCCTGCAGCAAGCAACGGTTCAATCACCTTGGACAACAAATGGTATGGCAACTGCAAGCAACGTGGGCACTGCAGGTTGAATTTTCTTCATCAAGTTTGCCCATTGCGTGAAGGCACGCAACAATATTTGCTTAGTTTACACCAAGTTTAATGCGCTCATATGGTTGCAAGTTATCGTTTTTTTGGGGGGGCCCTACCGCTTTACATGCTTTGGTGCACTTTCTCAACACAACTGCAGACCCTACCTTACTAAAGTAGTCTACGCTTATGTTCACCGCATCTCATATATACATGTATATCATATATATGTATCATATTATATATATATATATATCATATTATATATATACATCATATATATATAAAACATATTATATATATATACATCACATATATATATATCATATTACATATACATCACATATATATAAATATATATATATATATATATATAAATATATATATATATATATATATATCATGAAATATATATATATATAATATTATATGATATAAATATAATATATACCATATATATATATATTTATCCCCAACTTTGTTGGTTGAATCCCCATGATTTCCCTAGATCCCATAGACACCCTCTGTTAAACTATCATTTTTTCTACGTATGGGAAATCATTTTTTTCATCGGCAAATCAGTTATTTCTATGGCAATTTTCAGTAGCAAACTGTTAGTTTAGTAGAGGGTAATATATGGTTTATGGTCCCTGTAACATTTTATAGCTATAGTATTCATGGATATGTATGGGGTTTATAAATCAACTTACATCCTGAGTTACGTTCATCAACTCACATTAATACACCCTCTGGTAAACTAAGGCAATGATGGCAAATCAACTATAAAAGTTAACCAATACTATAATATATCATAATCTTTACTATGATAGAGTATATTAGTTTACTAGAGGGTAATTCCTATGTCACTATGGTTTATGGTCCCTATAACATTTTATAACTATGGACAATCACCACATTTCGATACTTTAAGTAGGTAAATCAACTATAAAAGTTAACCAATATTATCAAAAGCCATGTTAAATCAACTGTTTGGCCATTTTCAAACAAATTACCAGAGGGTGTCATCCTGAACCTTGGGTAGGAACTAATCCTGTAGTGTCTTGCTATGAGTGGAAAAATCACCATCACCAGCAAAAGTAACCATTACTAGATGTGTCTTCTATGGCCATTAATCCATAGCTCTCTTACTTTACCAATACTGGTTGGTGGTGCAATAGCCATCTTGAAAAATGATGGAGTTCGTCAATGGGAAGGATTACATCCCACATGTGAAATAAAATGAACATGTTTGAAACCACCAACCAGTATTGTTGGTTACATATTCCACTTTAAAAATAGGTAAATCAACTATTCTATGGGCCAGTTTCATCATTTAACATTAATTGTGGAAAAGTCCCCCAGAGTGACCCCCAGGATCCTAAAGTGGAGGTACTGTACCATATAAGGCCATATTTTGTGGGTATATCCCCTTACATAGGACTTGCATAGGCCTTATATATGATAGGTACCTCCAATCAATCGGTTCCTGCACTGGCCATTGAAATGAACATGTTCCAAACCACCAACCAGGTGATTTTCCAGTTCGCGACCTGTTAGTTTACATGAGCCACTGACTGTCTATATCTAATATAAATATATATATATATGCACAACTGTCTAATAACTATTGCCATAATATCCCATGTTTAGGTCATTGACTGTATATATATATATAGATATATAAGTACCAAAATATCCCGAGTAACTATAGTTATTTGCGTAACATAAACCATAGTTATTGGAGTTGTAAGCCAACTTAGCTATCTTGGGAGAACTGTGAGGTCGTTATAATTTACCCAGGTATATGTATATAATTATGTAGTATGTATAATGACTGCAGAAATGTTCCTCCAGTATATATGACTATATATATATACATACATATACATATACATATACACATATATATATACATATACATATATATATATAAGTACCATAAACCACATACCAGTATCATATATGTGGCCCGCCACAAAAATCGGAAGCACAGCGAAACATCGCTCCATCCGATCGTCGGGGTCTTTCTCCGTCTCCATGGCTCCATGGTCAAAAGCCTCGACGCGAGGACTCCGAAATTTTGGGGGCCCAGAATAGGAAAACCATAGGAAAACCATGGGAAAACCATAGGAAAACCATAGGAAAATGTGGATTTAATGATTTTTAAGGGGATTTATAGCTGATAACTAGCTAAGTTGGTGAGTTTGTAGCTAAGAACTCCAATAACTCAGCGAAAAAACAAAATGTGGGGACCCCATCTGGGCCCCCACACGATAGCTAAGTTGGGGCAAATAACGCCAATGTCACTATGGGATGTAGTAGATAGAACTATAGTATTCATGGGGTTTACAAACCAACAAACATAACCAGGCGGCCCGTTAGAATGTTAGAATCTACCACACCTGAACCGGTATGGTTGGAACTTTGAGACCAGTTGAGCCCTCCATTCTGCTGAGTCACATGGGACTAGTGCGTATCCCAAATCCTAAAATATCTAACTAACCATATTATTACATCCTCGGCACTGTTTGCATCTGCGTGATTGGGCATTGCTCGAACATGAGTTTCGATCGCCGCAACAGAGATCATAAATCATCCCACGTCGCAGTATCCAAAAATCATAGCGAAACCATGGCCCATTTAGTTAGAGAAATAAAATCCCTATTTCAAATGGTGATTTTCAAATATGAGTAATGTGGTTTTAGTTTACATTACCCAATACATCTGATTATAGCGAGTTTCAAAGAGTTGCTAATTTGCTAACGCATTGATCAACAAAGTACGTGGTTGCCAATAACATTCAACATATAAATTAAGAATTGATTGGTGGGAAATTTCAGGAACCATCCATATGTTATTGGGAACATATACCCTCTGGTAAACTAACATAACTATGGAAAATCACCATTTTCAATGGGTAAATCAACTGTAAATAATCATTTTCAATAGCAAACTGTTAGTTTACCAGAGGGTACATTCCCTCAAAGCACTGATTTCCCCTTCCAATGGCCATTAGATTAGGTGAGTTTTGCTCTCCACATTTGAACACCCCGCACGTGTGTAACTGGTTGGTGGTTGACCTACCTCTCTGAAAAATGATGGAGTTCGTCAGTTGGGATTATTATTCCATATATGGTGGAACATTAAAAAAATGCTCCAAACCACCAACCAGACTAGCAAATTTCCTGATAACAAGAACAACAATTCACAGCACCTTAAAATATCCCATGTTTAGGCCATTGTCAGCTACATATTATGGCTACATATGGCTACGGTCTCATCCTGTGAAATCCTCAAATATGGCTAGCTGGGAAATTCACCAAAAAAGGTGGTGCCCCCCAAGTTTTAAGTTGGTTTACAGTCCCATGAAAACTATAGATATATCATCAACAAAAACCATAGTGACATTGGAGTTATGTTCACCAACTGAACGCTATCGTGGCCGGGGGCACCACCTTGTATAACTGGAGCTTCGAGTCGGAAAATACGCTATAACAGAGGGTGATTTTCCAGCCAGCCACGTTTGACTTAACCGGGGGGTATGCGGACGTATCAACCATCAACTATAGTTATAGTCCTTTTCACAGGTAAAACAACATCGGTCAAGTGATATATATATATATAAATAATAAAATATAAAATAGAATAATATAATATAATATAATATAACATAATATAATATAATATAATATAATATAATATAATATAATATAATATAATATACCATAATATAATATAATACAATATTACACATATATAACATCTTAGCTGCATAGTTGCAGGAGTTATTTCATCCCATGGCCATAACTGTGGCCAACAAAAAAAGCTATAAATCCCCATGGAAACATTCCAATTCTTCGATATTCCTGCAAGGTGGTGCCCCATAGTTAGCTAAGTTGGTTTATAACTCCCATAACTATGGTTTATGGTAGATATAACTATAGTTAGTGGGGTTTATAAACCAACTTATAACTGGGGGGCACCATCCTGTGATGAGTGAATTCAGCATTTTCCCCTGGGTCCCTGCAACTGCGACGCAATCGCTTTGGTGATGTTCTTCTGAAGGGAGTTCCGTTGCTTCTCACCGGGCTCTGAGAGGTTGTCCTGTGATCGCTGGTGAATTCTGGTGAATGAAAAACACCTTTACAAAACTCATGCGGTTATGGCCTGAGTTATACCAGTTATAGTACTAACAAAACCCCATTGATAGAATGTATAATCCCATAGAAATAACCAGTTATAGTTCATTTCAATGGCCATAAGTGTGGGGAAATTCAGGTCAAGAAAGTTGGTGATGTTGCCACGTTAACATGAAATTTCACGAGGAGTGAACCGGTGAACCAATCAGCATTGGACGCCGTTTGCAATCCCCTTATCTCTTCCCTTTATCGCTCTATAGCTTCAGATTAAGTTCCCAGAATCGTTAAAAAAACAACTGTATAGTAATTGTTTCAGACAACACACACAATTATCACGTGTGTTTTAAACAAACATAGTTAGAGGCAGGGCCCACCCCACCATTTATAGACCCATTGAACTAGATACATATATTCAAGAACTAAACTCTGGTCCAGCTGGTTGTGAATCAACTTACCTATCATAAATTGATTACCGTTTGGTTATTTAACGTAGCTATGGAAAATCACAATTTTGGATAGGTAAATCATCATAAATCCTCCATAAATGGACCATTTTCCATAGCTATGTTAAATAGCCAGAGGGTATACATCACACAGCTTCTTTGTTCAGTCCCAATCTTTGATGGCTGAACAGCTGAATTTGTCTGAAAATAGGTACCCTATTCCATCATATTCCATCCTCCTGTGAATCATGGTTAATCATCATTTTGCCAACATTAAAATGGCCTAACATGGTGCTCCTAAAATAGGGCTAACCAAATCATCAATTTTAATGTTTTGTTTTTCCCTTATACCCTCTGGTAAACTAACAAAACTATGGAAAATCACCATTTAGAGTGAGTTTTCCCATGAAAAAGGCCATTTTCAAGTTCGCAAACTGTAAACGTTTACCAGAGTTATGGCCATTTATCAGTTATAAATACTAACAAAACCCCATTTATAGAATGTATAATCCCATTTATAGCCAGTTATAACTGGTAAATGGCCATAACTGCAGGGGGTAAACCCTCCAGCTATGGGGTACCCCCATGATGGAAACCTCCTTGACTCGGACCCCGGATTCACCCTTCGACCCCGGGTCCAAACAGGATGAGGGATCATTGGAAGCCTCGGCGTCTTTCCAAACGTCAACGGCGAACAAAAAAACATGGGGGATTTTTTCCCACCCATTGATATTCCAAACCCTCCATTGAGGTCTGTTTTTTTTGCAAAAAATCATCGATTTATAGTTGATTCTTCCATGAAAACCGCCAGAGTTGGGGATTTTTTGCCATTAAAACTCCAAAGCTCCATTGGGTTCGGATACTTTCCGAGTGCCACGAAGCAAATGACAGAGAACATGATGGATTTTCAGGCAACACAGTGGTGCTGCTGACATAAGGATATCCTAAAGCCAATAATCAAAGCCCAAGTCTTGATGGCTAATACCAAGCCTTGTCTGGTGGTATTGGGGATGGTTGATGTTTAAGTTTATCAGATCAAACACATTACCTGTTTAGGGAGCTATAGGGGTCATGCTAGCCCGGATAGCGGGTTCGCCAAGAAAGGAACCATCTTACAGCTTGATGAATCCTAAACCTGTTTCACCGAAATGTGGACAAACTCAAATTAAACTTTCTGAGTCATGCAGAACATGTTCATGTAACATATACGTAATTTGTATATATATATATGAAACATAGATATTACATCGTACAAAACCTGAAACAACCTTAAGTTGGGGATGCTTACCCCTGCTGACCATTTGCAATGAGATCCTTGCAATATGTTTGTCCAAGCCTTCCTGGCGTCCTGGAGTTTCATCTATGGTAAAATCCCTTGCTGGCTATACCTTTAGATATAGCCGAGTATTTGTAACGGCTTGACACATCCATTCGTAATGTTATATATACATATATACATGTGTGCAAAATCACATGTGTGCAAAATCAACTGGGTATGTATAGCAGATGTTTTGCAATGTCAAGTCTCTTTACCATACCACTCTCTAACATTGCTTGTTTCTTGGAGTGATGTGATGATCCAAGACATCGTTTTGAACAAAACACGTGGTTGGTCGGACGTTGGAAACAAAACACCAGCACTCCTGTTTGAGCAAGGTCAAAAACCTGTTGGTGCATCACTGCAAGTTGATCTTTGACCAATCAGTACAATCAGGGACCCCCTAGTTGTAAGTTGCTTTGTAAACCCCATGAATACTATAGTTACTATAGTTATATCATGTTATATCTACTCTATCCCTTTTTGTGACATTGGAGTTATAAACGCACCAACTTAGCGATTTCATTGCAACGGGGGCCACACATTGTAACTATAGCCATCAACCAGGGTTTATTAATCCGGGGTTGACATTAACTGGTAAGGTCTAAAACTGTAACACATGGGGGATTCCAATCTGTATAAAGTTCAATATCCTTGTCCTGAGAAGTGCCTTCTCTGCAGGCCCTTCGCGTCCGCGTGTTGAACCTCGGAGCTCCTCGGTGCCTTTGGCTTCCCAGCTGCTCCTCGTTCAAGGTCATTGTTGAATGTGGATCAGATCCGCCCTGCTTCACCATGTTCATTGCAGTTATGGCCATTGATTGATGAGTTATAACTGGAAATTGAACTATGGGACTACAATATATATTTAAAAAAAAATCTTTATGAATTATAAGTGTTTTTTTTAGCTATGGGATTACTATTTCTATTTTATAAATGGGCTGTCTTAAGTTAGTACTTCTCACTGGTATAATCCGACAGGGCCAGAAAACTGCTGCACCAATCCATTGATCCGAGGATTTCGCCGAAAAAAAACCAAGGGGGTGATGTTTGCCATAGATCACGTGCGTTCTGGTGCTATGTGTGTATCTATAAAGAGAACGTACATGAACATATTATCAATTTAAGATGATATCAAATAATTTATGATGTGAGCAAAGGTTGCTAAAAACATTTACAACATGTATAAAATATGTTTAAAAAAATATGTTAACTGCTAACCTATCCGTATCACATGGGATACATGACTTTTCACCTAAGATGATGGTGCTTTATGTCCAGGTAAACTCATGAGCCACCCAGCATGAGCCACCTGGCGGACCTTGCTGATATGGGGATGGGTCAAGAACTGTTGTTGTTACCCGGCCTGGTAAACATACAAAAAACTATGGAAAATCACAATTTTTAATGGGTAAATCAACTGTAAATAAATAATCACTTTCAAGTTCGCAAACTGTACCCTCTGGTAAACTAACATAACTATGGAAAATCACCATTTTTAATGGAAAAACCACTATAAATGGCCATTTTCAATAGCTATGTTAAATTACCAGGGGTAAACGTTTCCCAGGCCGGGTACCCATGATTCATAGCATATTATTTTTTGGGGATGAACCTCCGCCGCCGCATCATCCAGCTACTTTTCGGCGACAAAGTCACAAGCCTAGGGTTTTGACTCATAGCCTTTTTTGTTAGCTGTTACAGTTATGGCCATGTATCAGTTATAAGTACTTATAACCCCATTTATAGAATGTATAATCCCATTTATAGCCAGTTCTAATTGGTAAATGGCCATAACTATAATTACAAAAGAAAATGTTGAATCATTAAAAGGCTAAATTAAACTAGGGTTTTGTAACATTACTTAGAAAACGTTCACAAGAAATTCACCACTAGGGTTTGTGTTCAATGTTTGTTGTTTATCCCCATCAACCTTCACGTATATAACCAATCCTTCCCATGGTGGAAAGAACAAAAGATCTCCTATCCATGCCGCGGTGTGCTTCCATGCATGTTTCCCATCAAAACAAAAAAAGAAGCAACAAAGAAATTTTTGCAGCGGGTTGGAAAATATCCCCATATGTAACAAACATATGGAGTATTTAAGGGGCCATGGCGTCGTCTACATTTTTTCCTGCCACATTTTGTGGTCTGAAATTAGGGGCCATTCCTAAGATGTCCTAGAGAATCCATGTTTGATGAGTTAACACCTAAGAGTTGTTGGTTTGTATCTATCGATCTATCGATCTATCAATCTATCTATCTACCTATATATCTACCCATCTATCTATCTATCTATCTACCTACCAACCCGTCTATCAATCAACCAACCAATCAACCAATCAATCAATCAATCAAGCTCTCTCTCTCTCTATATATATATATGTATATACACTATATATATATATATGTACATATATATACATATATATATATATGTATATATATGTACATATATATATATATATATATACACCCTTTCACGTTCATGATAGTTGATGAATTTCGGGCCCGGGCCCCTGATGCGTCATCGGCGAGTTTGTCCACTTCAGCCTTTAAGGCCTCGCCGTCCAAATCCTCAAGGTCCGATCGCGCCAGATTTCGGAAAGGTTGACATAAGCTGCAATAACCAGTTGGTTTATGGTGGAAAAAAGACATCTCTATAGTTATCTATAGTTATCTTATAGTGATCTATAAATATCTATAGTTATCTATAGTTATTTATAGTTATCTATAGCTATCTAATGCTATCTCTACTTATCTATGTATAGTTATCTATGGTTATCTATGGTTACCTATGGTTATCTATACTTGTTAATACTTATCTATCGTCATCTATGGTTCATGGAGGTTATGAACTTACAATCCTTCCAAGCGAACCGTCACATTCCCCGTTTCTATAAAATTTCATTAAAAAAAACACCACCGTCAAAAATGATCCCAGATGTAAAAACTCCTGCAGTAAAACCATGTATAATATATGTCATCGATCTACTCTGAAGCGTTGGTTCAAAAGAGCTGAGTGCTAAACGGTTGTGGCTGTATTTCACCCCATTGTCGGTTGACCTGGTAAAATACAGGTTATCAGCCGTAGTCTCACTACTTTGCTATGGGGACCCCAACCGACCTTCCTCTCGCCGTTCCAGGGTCAGGTCCATCGGCCATCGCTGTGCCCAATGTGGCCGGGGGCAACCCCGAGCCGATGGATGACGAAACAATGTTCCAACCCGTTGTAGCGTACTTCACCTTCATACAAAACAACCTTTCTCAAATCACCAGTGGGAACACCCTGCAAGTCATGAGGGAAGCTGAACAGAGGCACCTTCAGATAATGCATGGAGTAGTTGACTCAATTCGAAACAAATGGTCAAGTAGGCTCGTAATGCAGGAGCAGGAGTATGAGCAAAGGTTGCAGGAGGTTGAAGGTAAGGCCATCAGTGCCGTCAACGAGGAAAGGAAACGAGGCGACGAGTTAGAGGTCAGGTTAAATCAGGCTCAGGCATCGCATGACAAAAGAGTAGAGGACTTCAAGGTAGAGGCAAACACAAAGCATGATCAGAAAATTGCAGAGGAAAGGCAACGTATCACTAGTGAATTCGAAGCTTCCTATGCACAGACTGTTGAACATGCTAAGAATGCCATAGCTGCCACGAAGAAGCAATATGAAGATCAGGCTGCAGTTGATCAGGCCAGGTTCATCAGTTTGAGGACCGAATTCGAGAACTACAAGAAGGAGATGGCCGAGAAGATCAACGAGGCAGCGGCTCAGAATCTCAGCCTTCAGGACCAAATCGATGACCTTCAGGAGCAGTTAAAGCATGTTGCCAAAGCGCAGCATGCCTCCGTTCCGAAAGCATCCGTCCAGAATGCCGAGCCAGCCGCTACCACTAGCGTGCCCCACTTCAACATTGCCACTCCTAGAGCATCCGATGCACAAGCTGCCAAAGGCAGCGATGAGCCGATTCAAGAGTTGAAAACGCCTGCAGTGTTGGCACAGGAAGCAAAAGCCAAGTTGGATGAGCTGCTCAAAGGTGGCAGCCCCAAGCAGAAACCGGCTGTCGGCAACGACCAGCCTCAATTGCCAATGCAGTCAGGGTTTTTCACTCCCACTGAAGCTATCAAAACTCCCCCAAATGATTCCCCAAAGAGCGTAAACAAGCAACAGCAAGTGATGGGTCCCTCAGATCTTATTGAATTGGTAAAAGCCTTAACCCAAAGGGAAGAAAAGGATAAGCCAAAAACTAAGGAGGCCGAAATCATCAAGCTGAACAACATGCCCGCTCCGGAGTCATATAGGACTTGGAAGAATCATGTCAGGGATGAAGTGAAAAGTTGCCCAGATCGCCCAGATGAGGCATGGCTCTGGCTCAATGAGGTGTACGATCAAGAGTGTACCCGGGGGCAGTTGGAGAAGAAACTCCAAGATCCTGGAAAGTTCCTCACGCTGGATACAAAGCTATCAGCAGCGCTCACGCGCTCAGCCGGTGGGGACCTCGCAACTAGGATCTTGAATTTCAAAGAGCAGCAATCCCGAAAAGGCATCCAGGTCAGGGGAAGGTACGTTCTGCTCATGTTTGAGGACTACTTCAAAACATCAGAAGAAGCAGGTAGCCTTTACAGAGTAGAAGATCTTTTGGGTGTTGTCAAAGTAGGCGATACTGTCCAGGATCTCAGAAGATTCATCAACAAATGGGATGCTACCCTAGCTGGCATGGCTGTCACCCCCGATGATGCTGTGTTAAGGGACATCTTGTTGAGGCAGATCCGACCAAGTCAGTTGCTGAAATATGACATCGAGATGTTTGATCGTGCACATGAGAAATCCCATGAAAAGTCTTATAGTTTTCTTCACCAATCCATGAAGAACTTGATCGACCGTGAACGATTGAGGGAAAACAGGAACCGCATCGCGGAGAAGAACAAGGCTGGGATCAAGGACACAAAGGCCGCACCCGCCAAAGGCGATGGTCGCGGTGGCCGAGGTGGCCGAAAGGGCTCTCCAAGTCGCGGTAGATCGCAGGAACGAGGTGGCAAAGGTGACAAGATTTGCTATAAGTTCCAAAAGGGTACCTGTGATAAGGGGAAAAAGTGTCCATTCAAGCATGTCAAAGATGATAAATCTCGAACTCAATCACCCAGAAGAACCAAGACACGTTCACCATCAAGGGGCAACAAAGACGATAAGGGGAAGAAGTTGTCCAAAGAAGAGATGGCCAAAACCCCATGTATCTATCATGCCCAGGGAAAGTGCAGACGTGGTGACAAATGTTTTTATAAGCATGATGACAAAGCTGCTGCCGCCACCAAAGACACCAAAAGGGCCAATTCACCCGCTCCCAAAAAGAAGAGCAAGGATTCCACAGCCGCTCCATGCCTGATTCAGAAGTTTGCCTGAATCGTCCGAAAACAGCCGAAGGCAACTTCGTGCTCTGATGAGTCAAGTGTCAGCATGAAGCGTCTTAGGTTCCGAAAGGCCCCACATGTGATCGAGGTGAAGGCAGTCGGTCGTCAAGTCCCAGTCAAGCACCGTCCAAGAGAGTTCACTAAGGTGTACAAGACAGCTGAAGATGTTCCAGTTTCATCCAAGGTTGAACAACATGAGGCTCAGGTTCGTGCAAGACAGCTTCAAGAAACGGTGAAACTTCATGATTCAGACGTTGCACCTAGTTGTGGGTTTTGTTGTTGGAATGAGGACACATGTGACATCACATGCAAAGAGTGCAGGTTCATCAGCGGTCCCAAGGCTCTTAGAGACATTGGTCGTTTTCCGTCAATTGCCACAGCTGCGCCAAAGGCCGGCGTTAGTTGGCTTGTCGACTCAGGTAGTGAATCCGATCTTGTGTCCAAAGGTATGCTGAGGGATGTTAGTGCCAAGAACTGCCGTGCAGCCGAGCATCCGATTTCCTTAGTCACAGCCAATGGTTCGACCGAGGCAAATGAGGTTGCTGATGTCAAGCTGTCCGCATTGCCAGATCCTGTGCATCCGTATGTACTTGATCATACCCCAG